GGGGGACGGAACCAGGGAATTCAGAGCTGTTCCTAGGCGTGAGAGAGGCATCTTATGTCGTTGTCGTGGTCGCAGCAATTTGTTTGCGAGTAACCTGGGTAAACTGCTAAGGCCATAGTCCTCTCTTCAGCCAAAACCTCACAAAAATCCTTGCAGCATATCTGCATGTCCTCCAATTTTAGTGTCAGCCTTTCTTTGTCTGTGGTTCTTCGCGAATTCAAAAAATATAATATAATATGATATAACTAATAATATTTTTCTTCTATGTTATTTCCCCGTGGACAGGCGCGCCCACCCCCTCCTCCGGGTGATCTTGATAGAGCAATCTCTTCGTCAATCACGCCAATTGAAATAGCATCTCCTCCCCTGATCTCTCGCAGAATATCCCATCCCTTGGATGCTTCTGAAATGCCTCCTCCGAGTGGTCCTTCTCGACAAGGATGAAAAGTTCTATCTGGCGTAGTATAAATGGAATCCCAAACGTTCAGCAGTCAAACTTTAACCAAATGGGGAAAGAAATTGTCTAAAGGGATATTTTTTTTATTTGCACTAAAAATATGCCATTATGAAAATTTTAAGAGACATAATCATCCTGGTGAAGAAATACATAAAACTAAACGTGTCGATTTTATACTGATTGGTATTTAAATCCTACATTAACTTATACGGGTTTAAGATGTGATGATGGATTTGTGCCCAAACATTACTAAAAGTATTCAATTTTGTATCTTCCAGAAAACGTCTGTTTGTATTATTTTGTCGAACGGGTTCAACTGAAAGTTAAAAAAGCATCAAAATACGTATATAGATCGCATTAATGACTTTCATCTTAATATGCAAGAATGTTCCTACATATATATATGTAAGTTGTTTATGCACTAAGCTACTGAATGCAGGTCTCCACTTTAAGGTGAGATGTATAGATCACTTGTAATCTCCGAGGAGTAGTGGAAAGATTTTTCTTAGCTGACCTGATAACGTCTGGAGCGAGATCAACACTATGATAAGATACCTCGTGCCCGTCACTCTCTAGTATGGTGTATCCGTGGGAAAGAGGGAGAGGGGAGGCGAGGGAGGGAAAGGGTAAAAAGAGAGAGGGGGAGAGAGAGGGAGGGAGGGAGTTTAGAGAGGGAGACAAAGATCCCAAATCCCTCCCTCAAGAGCGGATCAGATTGTTCTCACAAGCCTCAGCGGCAGCAGGGGCTAAAGGAACGTACAGCCGCTGTGGGGCGACTGCCGAGTCAAGTTAACATTAACAGTTCTTGCACAACTGGATGAGCAGTAAGATTGATGGGAGAGAGAGAAGAAGAGAGAGCTTTCTGTCACCTCTGATCTGATTGACGGATCATTTCACTCTCTATCCCCCCCACTTCTCTCTCTCTCTCTCTCTCTTCCGCGTGGAGCCGCGGACAACTATAGAGACCAACAGCTCCGACGAGTCGCCTGCAATACCTATGCTGCCTTGGTTCCTGGTGTACTTGCTCTCCCCGCCGGACCGCACTCATTGTCTTTTGCTCTGGAAGTTAATAGAAAGGGAGAAACGATCCCCGCGCTCCATGGACTGCACGTGCCCACACGCTGCCACCCATGGATACAATGTATATAAAAAAGACGTATATATATATATATGTGTGTGTATGTATGTATGGAGGGAGAGAGAGAGGTGGCATCAGCTCACGGGAGAGTCTGAACAGCAGGGAAGAGGTCGAAGAGTAGGGATTGGGGAAGGAGTGGGGTGGGCGCTATTCTTCTGATTCTGAGCACTGCAAGCACGGGAAGTGATCCCCCCACCCTCTCCCTCCTTGCTCTGTCCCGGTAACGTGACTCCATGTGGGCTAGGGCAGACCCTTTCTGCCTTTGGTCTTAAATTAACTGTTTGCTAGAAAGGAAGAGGCCATGGATTCTCAAGGGGGTGGAAAAAGCTGGGAGGAAGAAGACGGAGATGGGGAGTAGCAAGCACGATATTCTTTGCAGTCGTTTGAACCACTGCCGAGTAGGGTGCTCCCAGGTTTACACCCTTTCGTTAGGAGAGAGAGAGAGAGAGAGAAACCCGCGTGATAATTCATCTCTAGACATGTTATTCAAGACCGCCCAGCCCTAGCCCTTTGTTGCAACACGAACCCTACCCGACGATAAGTCACTATAGCCTTCATTCTAGTCATCTACGTTGTCATCAGCATCCACTGGTCCTTCGCTATTATGGAACTAGGGTTCCTATCATATCCACAGCTATTCTTGGAGAAAAATGGAACTCAGTCAAAGTCTTCATTGATTACAGCACCTCTTGAGCTTTCGCCAGTGCCCTTTGTCTGCAGACAAAGCTGCACGGGCAACTCTACTTGAATCTCTGAATCTTGCTACTAATACATCTGGGCACCTAGCCTACAAGAGGCTCGATGCGTTTCCTTGCGATGGTAAGCGCTGGTTTAGTAAACAAATCATCTAATCTCCTCGGTATTTATACCAAATAATCAAAAGTAGACCTATAGTTTCCCTCCGAATCTGGCAATATCCGTGTGAGGACAAGTTTGCGGCTGTCCTAAGCACGGACAAAGATCTCTTGCATGAACCCTATCTTGACTGGGACAGACCCATGAACCCTGGAGGAACCGCACAGCACCGAGAGCCTGGTCCCACATGTTGACCACAACACTTTGAATGCAACAGTGGTCAACCTCATAGGGTGACCCTCTACCGTGCGTGGCTTCGTGTTGGGTCACATTGTCCGTTGTGTGTGAGGAAGCACCTCTCTCTCTCTCTCTCTCTCTCTCTCTCTCTCTCTCTCTCTCTCTCGCTAGATATATATATATATATATATCCAAACATACGAAGAGAGGGAGAGAGAGAGAGGGAGCTTAGGGCAGACATGACTTGGAAAAGGATGTCTTTTGGCGTCACTCTGTTGTTTGTGGATCTCCATTGAGGTCGGAGGGGGCACAGATAGGCGTCATGTTTACTACCCACTGCATGTAATAGTTGAAAGGACGAGCTGCAGAGACGTGAAGTCCGGTGTGGGGCACAGAAGTTAGTCAGTGAGTCCAACATTATGTTGCCTACGCTATGAGGAATACATTCAACCAGTACACTAGCTTCGTAGGGAGAGAGATTTTTCCTCAAATGGGTAGAATTTTTTTTTCTCGAAATGGATCTCAAAATATTTAATCCCCAAAATCCAACTCTTTTCCACATAAATTCTTGCACACCACCATGAATACAAAAATTTTAATTTTTATATATATTTTTCAACGAAATATTTTTAAATGATAATTTTGGTTAATTTTTAAATGGCTACATAAATCACTTATATGAATAAAAAAACTAAACGAATTCGAAATTTCATAACTATAAAAGTCAGAATAATAAGAAATTACGCAACATACCAAAATATTCTAATAAATTATGTATCAACACGAAAAAAAAGGGATTAATGGGTTATTTCTTATGCATTTATTTTATTATAATCGATGATAATAACGACTATTTAACGCTATCATGTTCGTCATTATTATTGCATGCATCTCTAACGACGCCTGTGGAGAAATTCACTTTACGTAATTTTTCTTATTAACTCATAAAAATCACCCCCTATGGGGGGCTGAATTAATGTGAAAAAATATTTCTCCCACTAGTCATCACGTGATGGAGGAGGTTCTAACGTTCAAAAATATGGCGTCAAATCTCGTCGCATGGGCCAGCTGACCGTCCGACCCGGTCGCGAGGTGAACGAAAGGATGAGCGACGACCGGATCAGAGGGACTGCTCATCGCCACGTGGGAACGGTCAGCGTCTGTCAAATCCAACGGGCCTCGATCAGTGGGCCCCAGACGCTCGCTACTTTTTACAGAGGTGGCAGTGGCGGCCATATTTTGGGAAGACATGACTATCATAAAAGAGGCCTATTTATGTCTCTAACCTAGGTCCTACTAATGGGCCGGGCCGTATGGACGCCTCCCATGGGCCCGAAATTCCGGGGCCCGCTGACTAAGTGACAATTTCTTGTGGGGCCCACTTCTGTTTTATGGGCCTATCAATGGGCCTGTATCTTCGCCCATGATTGTTTTTTAGATGTACATTTTTCGAGGAAAAATAAGAAAAATATGTCCTCCAAACTCCTCCACACGAAATTCATTTTTATATTTTATTAATTATTTCCCATTGAGGGCGTCTCACTAAGTATCTAAGCTATATATAAGATATTTATATATATATGTAACTTATTAATTCCGTGGATTTCTACTAATTGGGTCCTTGTGAGCAAGATTAGACATGAGCCCATTAAGCTAGCTGGCCAATAACCTAATTAAAAAAACCATGATATTTTCATAGATCGTGAATAATAAATTCGTACACATTTTTTCTTTTTTTCCCTATTTTTGAACTTACGCAAGTGGGCCTAGCCCCGGCTTTAGGAAATTTCCTGCCAAGGCCCGAACTCTGATAAGCAGGCCCATTTACTTCAAAGAGTGTCAACGGGCCGGTCCCGGGCTGGGCCCGTTGACACTCTCTATTGCCCCATCCATGACGAGAATGCCGGGCTTGGGGCCTAGTTTTATGTCTAAACCTCATTCCAGAAGCCTGGCCCGGGCCAGGCGGGCCGGCACCCCGGGTTTTCACAACCCCCCCCCCCCCGCTCTCTCTCTATTCACAGTTACTTCAACCTGGGTCGGCTCCCAGGAGAGGACTTGAAAGTCAACGGTTCTATTTCCATAAATGATCCGGAATTATGTCAGAAGATCTTCAACCACGTTCCCAATCAAAAGATCAAGGAAATATCAATCAGACAAGATCTGGATGGAGATCCGGGTAATAATATATTTTCAAGAAATAATCCGAAATAATCATCCAAGATCAAATGGAAAATATCATCTCAAGATGAACTGTTCTTCAGATTTCAAGGTACCCACCTCCAGATAAACCCAGATCACTGATAAAAAACCCGAGCTTTGACCATGGAGAGGATCTTCAAGAATCTGAAATCTTTTGGGTCACCCTATTTGGGGTCAACCCGGCTGCCTACATGGCGGACCAAGAAAGCCCGAGCGGACGTAGAGGTTGATCATGGAGGAGTAGTGCTCTTGCCTTGGGACGACAGAGTATAACCTGGTCATGTTGTCAAAGATCCACTGACCCTCGGTCAAAAGCCCAACCCGGCAGCAAGCCGAGAGGGCGGCAGATATCGCCACGTGGTCGGGAGTCAACCCTCGGCGGGCCATGGCCTTGAAGAGAGCCAGCGCCCTGAGTCCCTCCCCCTGCCTCCCGAAGCCACTGATCATTGAAGTGTAGGAGACTTCGTCCTTTGACTCCATTGACTGGAAGAGCTTCCACGCCTCCGAGACCCTCCCGGACTTGCAGTACATGAAGAGCAGAGCATTCCACAGGGGGAGGCAGCTGCAAGACGCCTGCTTTGTGATGTAACAGTGGAGCTCCCTCCCATGGCGGATGTCCCCTATGCGGCCGTAGAGGGGAAGAAGGGCCATGATCGCCGCCTGGGTCGGCCCGCCTGCCGATCGGGCCATCGCCCGGAACAGAGACGAGGCCTCTCCCGGCCGATCGGTGCGGGCGTTGCCTGCAATTATGCAGCTCCAGGCGACCGAACTTCTGTTATTGGAGTTCTTGAACAGGATCTCCGCAGAGCGGATCCGATCGCACCTGGAATACATGGTGATCAGAGAATTTGTGACTGGTTCTTGGTGGTCGAAGATGCTGCGGACGGCCGAGCCGTGAATCTCCTTCCCCAGTTTCAGGCATCCGAGCTTTGAGCAGGTGATGAGGGCGATGACGATGGTGACGGCATCCGGGGGGGACCCCATCTTCTTCATCTGGGAGATCAATTGCAGAGCTCCTCCATGGTTGCCCATCTGCAGGTTGCCCCCGATGATGGTGTTCCAGGTGACTGTGTTCAAGGCGACCTCCCCCCTCATCTTCTCCAGGAACCTGCGAGCGTCCTCCCACATTCCCATGGAGACGAACCCTGAAATCATGGCGTTCCAAGAGACGACGTCTCTCTCCGGCATTCCCCCGAACAGCTTCTCGGCGGCGGCGATGTCGCCGCATTTGGCGTAGACGGAGACCAGAGCGTTGCGCAGGAAGAGGTCGCCGGCGTCGAGCCCAGTCTTCTCCATCCTCGCTTGAAGCATCCTGGCATGGCGGAGGCCCAGGGTGTCGCCGCAGGCCTTGAGAACGGAGGAGCAGGTGAAGCCGTCAATGGCGACGCCCTTCTCCGCTGCGGCTCGGTAGAGCAGCAGCGCCCGCAGGGGAAACCCGGCTCTGACATGGCCGGAGATGAGGATGTTCCAGGGGAGGCAGTCCATGGAGGTGGAGCTTTCGGCCATGGCCTGAGCTTCGTCTAGCTCGCCGCAGCCGGCGTAGAAGGCGACCAGCCTGGAGACCAGAGGTTGGCGGCGGTGGAAACCCAAGGAAATGAGGTGGGCATGGAGTTGCAGGCCCTGGGGGACTGCTCTGAGCTTCGTGGAGGTGGCGAGGAGGGAGGAGATGGGGTGTAGGAAGACGATGGCCGCCGGGGAGAGGCGGCGGAGGGAGGAGTAGACGAGGAAGGCGGCGGAAATCTCGCCATCGCCGGCGAGCTTCCTGACGGAGCTGAGGAGAGAAGAGAGAGACGGCACCGCCGGAGACGACGGCCATGAACTTGCGAGGAGCTGAGGATTTCTCGGTGACAATGGAGGAGAGAACATCAAAGGCCGTGGCTTCTTCGGCGGCCGCCCCTCATTTCTCCGATAGAACAGCAGAGAACCAGAGGAGGACCTTCCCCTCTCTCTCCCTTTCACTCTCTCTCTCTATCTCTCTCTTTCCAGCCAAATCGGGACATTATTAACACAGAGGAACACCTGTGTGCATTCTCAGGCGCCGGGACAAAGAAGACGGCAAGAAATCACCCAGGAGGAAGATCTCCATATCGCCATTAAATCTGAAAACTACCCGCTTCAAGATCCTGCCTTCCCTCTCCTCCGCCACGCTGAGCGATTAGGGTAAAAAGGAGGGGGATATCACCGGCTCGGGGGAGGCCGTGAACTCTCCCCCACGTCGTGATTTCCTCCTCTGAAAGACCAGATTTAAGTACCAGTTAATGACAACGAGCCAAAATCCTGCACCTTCTCCCTCCCCATGTCTTCTTCTACCTTAAAACCACTACAGGGCACCCCCCCCTCCTCATCTTCTCTCTCTCTCTCTCTAGAATTGGGGTTCAGTGAGACGGGTTCGGTAGCTCTGGTCTGCATCGTCTTCCATGGCGGGGGATTAGGTTTTCTGAGCTCCTCCATAGCTGCTGCAGACCCGGCAGTGAAGAACGAGGAAGGCTCGAGCTTGAGCTCGCGGGGAGGAGTTGACCGAGAACCTACCAGAGAAGATGGAAATCACTCATCCCTGATCCTCACTCATCTTTGCTCGATCTGCCCAGGTCGAAGATCACGGCGGAGATGCCGCCCCCGCCGGCGGCGCCGCCCGGGGAGGACCCTCCTCCGTGGGCGGCGCCGCCGGAGTTCTTCCCCTTCGACGGGGAACGAGGAGGAGGCTCCTTCCCTCCTCGCATGGAGTTGAAGCCGGAGGGAGTCTTCATGGACGAGGCGGCGTTTGGCCCAGTAGGGTTTTGCTTGCCGGATCACCTCCCGCTGCTCCAAGGCCCCCTTCTCGGAGATCTCCGAGATGGGTTCTTCCGGCGGGAGGAGGCGCCGATGGCCCCATGGGGAACCTTCCCTCCGCAGCCGCCGCCGCCGGGGGACGCCACCGTCGGGAGGGGCTCCGCCAGAAAGGCCAAGAGGATGATCAAGAACAGGGAGTCCGCGGCGAGATCTAGAGCGAGAAAGCAGGTACTCTTACTCTGTCTCTCTCTTCATATGGGTGATGTATGAGAGAGAAATTTTGGGATTTTGTAGGCTTACACCACCCAGCTTGAGGATGAGATCAAGCGTTTGAAGGAACGGAATTTAGAGCTCAAGGAGAACCTGGTAATCAATCTTCACCCCGCTGTCTCCAGCCCTCCTTTTCTTCTCTCTCTCTCTCTCATCTGGGTTTTCTATGGCTTTGGAACTGCTTCTCAGAAAAACCCTGATTTGATACTTGTCAGCTCCTGCTGAAGATACCAGACGAGGACCTCGCGCCACCACCGCCGCCGGAGAAGAAGCCTCAGCGGAGCTCTTCGGTGGGATTCTGATCTCCCATGGCGCCGTCGTCCTGTTCTGACTGACCAACTCAATGCCCATTCGAATGCAGTTCCGCATCTCTGCCATCATCATCTCGAAGTTGTTAGCTCAGCTTGCGTTGACTCTCTCTCTCTCTCTTGTCCAAGTTGCTTGCACCCTGGGCACCTGATTCTTCTCGTTACTGTCCTCCTCGTTGTATCCCCTCAGTTCAACAACAGACGATCTCCATGAGAGAGGGAGATGACGAGTCAGAGGAAGAGTTTCTATCCACGGATGAGAGAAAGAGAGAGAGAGAGAGAGATAGGCTCATCGCATGATTCACGTGTCAAGTAATCTTCTTGTCTGAAAAGGAACAGAACCAAAATTAGCAAGAAAAAAGCGTGCATAAGCACATTTTTAGGCTTCAAGACGATCCGAGATAGCAAGCCGCACGAGCTAATAATACTATTTTAGGTAAGCTAAGATACGGCTTTCACCTGGATCAGGCACAGCGTTGACTCTGACAAATTGTCGAATTCTTCATTATTTTTTTATAATCATGCTCCGGTCGCTTGGGAGTGAGAAAACCTAAGCATATTCAGAAACCAAGAACACATAGTAAACAGGGTGCCTCAAACACAGCACAATTTAATTTTATTAAAAAATATATATACAAAATAAACACCCATTGACATCTGTTGCGCAAGATCCAGGAACATCGATATCATCTTGCATGTATAGATTAATGTATTCAGATAGCTATCTCAGATTGATGATTCTTCCAGCGGCATTCCTAATAAAACGTTTTTTTTTATTAAAAAAAAAGGGATATTCAGACGGATTCAGAGCAAGATAATGGGAAGAAATCAAAGCTAGATTAGGCAGAAAAGAAAGCGCCCCTACCGATCCATCATCGCCGTGATGAACTGTGATGAATCTCCAGCAGCTGATGGAGAGAGACAGGGCGCCAGCCATCGGGCCTTTGTGCAAATAATACTTGATTTAGAGCATCGATGGCCATGCTCACATTGCCGAATGCGTAGACGGGAAGGCCGTTGTACATTCTACCCACTTTAGGCACGAACATCAGCCCATTCTCCACGGCGAATGCCTCGATATGTTCTTTCAAGCTTGTCTGAGGTGCAGTGCCAGTGGGATCAACATGAACACCATTTCCTAAAACGGCAGACATATGCTGATAAGATGCATTAGCTGACGCCTGCCGCTGAGCTTCAAACTGGCGTTTTTCTGTGACCCTCAGGTAGCTCACATTCTCCCTGGCGCCAGGCTGAACCACTTCCATGCCCTCCACTGCCTGATTCATCATGTCCAGCCCTCTGTTGAGCTGCTGTCTGATCCTCTCATTTGCGAGCAATTCCTGAGGAAAGAGGCCCTTCCAGCCTAGAAACCATTCTGTCACCTCACTGAAGTTGGGATTTGAGCACAGCCAGATGTATAAAGCTTGAAGCCACTTGGTGAAGAACTCTGCCTCCAGCAATGGCGCCATATAATCTATTGGGATAACACATGCCCATCTCATGACCCATTCGAATTGGTCCAGCTTCTGGTTTGCGGGGTTGACTTCGAACCCATTCAATGCTTCCATCAACTTTGGAATGATGCGCTCGCATATCAGGCGGTTCCAGCTACCAGCATCAAACACATCTTTCCAAGGAGAGAGTATGGCAAAGGCAGAAGCATCACTTGCATGCCAAGCTCCAAGAACATTTCCTAACTTGGCAGTTATCGTTGAGTAAAGAACCTCCAGCTTCTGCCCAAGCAATGGCAACCATGGGTGCACCCAAACGTGAATTGGGACAGTCTCTCGACAGGGATCCCATGACTCTACCGCAACAGTAAGTTTAGGCATAACCACGTGATCTAGAATTGAATGAAGGACAGGGGGAGGCAGCAGCTCTTCCCATGACTCCAGGAATCGAAGCATTGGCTCTGGATCCCTCGCATGCCATGTATTAGTCCCTGCAATCCTCACTGCGGGCAAGATAACCTCGCCAACAAGCTGAGTATATGGTGCAGAAGTCAACATAGTATCTGAGTAATCATACGGTCGATCTCCATCCAATAGATCCTTCAATGAGGACATAAGCTTCAAACCATGCAAGGGATTCTGAAGTGGCTCCCATCCCTGGAACACTCGGATCAGAAGGGGATATGCGATGGAACAGGCGATGCATGCCACATTGCACAACTTGTACTCCTCGGGGTATCTCTCCTTCATGCTGTTGAAGGTGTTCATGAGTGAATCCAGTGTCAGAGATCCCGAGGTGCTCTCCTCCCCCAGCGTGTCCAAGACACCCAGAATGGTTTCCATGATGCCAAGCTGTCTCTTCTGCCGGGCCTCCTCCTTCTGAAGCTTCTCCTTCTCCCGCTGCAGGCTGACCACGCTCTCTCTCTCTCGCCTTAGCTCTCCGTCAATCTTCTGTATGTCAACCTCCGACAAATCCACAATCAATCTTATATTGTACTGGAGCTCTGGCATAGGCAGGTTTTCCTCTCTTGCCTTCTCCTCAGCGTTCAAGTTCTCTAGGTTGGTCAAAACGCGAACCTGTGGCCCCCTCATGTCAAGCACTTTCTGGACGACATCCAGCCCCTGCTCCTGCTTCTTAACCAGCAGCTCCTCAGCCGTCATGTACTCTCTCGGCTTCTTAGCCTGCTTCTGCTTCGACCACAGTTTCTCCTTTGGTCGGGCGGCAAGAACAGCTCCCGGCTTCTCCTCTGGAACCTCATCAAGAGCCGGAAGCTTCGCCTCTTTGTAGTCGTTGAAGCCCATTCCCATATTCTTTGGACGGAGCTTCACTTCAATCGGCGCAGCTATACCCTGCTCGTTCTTCCCCAAACCCCCTCCCACCTTATATCCCATCTTCTCCATGAGCGCCAGCCCAATGCCCTTTGTGTGCTTCTCAAATTTGCCGAGCTCGACGGACGACCCTGACGCTGAAGCCCTCCTCCCGCCTTCCGGTTTCTTCGTGGTCCTGGATTTCTCCCTTTCCTTCTCCCTCCTCTGGGCCCCTTCTTTTATCTTCCTCCCGAAAGCCGTCGGCAGGAAATCCACCCCTTCCTCCTCCTCGCCGCCGGTATCCCGGCCATCTGCCTTAATCTTCTGCGAGGATCCCCCGGCGGCGAAACCTAGACCGAACCCTAATCCCTGACCAGCAGCACTCGGCTCGGTCACCGGCGCTACGGCAGCGCCTTCGCGCTCCTTTTCCTCAACGCGGCTTCGATCGATCTCCTGGTCGGGCATCACCGTGCCGGTGGAAACGAAGGAGACGGGCTTGGTGAAGTCGGTGCCGCCGCGGTCGTATTTCCCGCGCTTCCGCCGCGAGGATCCACCGCCGTCAGAGTCCGAGGACGCAGACTCGGCAAAGGATCCATAGATGGCGTCCTCGCGCGTCTGCTGACGGCTCCTCTCCCTACGTTTGGTGTAGTAGAACTCCCCGTCAATCCACTGCCCCCCTTCGAAGTCGTTCTCCGTCCCGAACCTCTCCATTCCCTGGTACTCGTCCATCCCGCCACCACAGCACCAGCGGAAAGAAACCCTAATCCCTCGATCCAAGCCAACGCCGACGAGATAGGCCGAGCAATCCCTCAGCAGCAAGAAAGAAGGGACCAGAAGAGAGAGAAAGAGAGAGAGGAGAGAGAGAGAGACAACCTTCTCGACCTTCTGGCCTCCAGATGCGACTGCGATACCATTAACCTTGGGGAGGAGAGCAGGATCTGAGACACGGCTGTATTTATATATGCGTGAGATGTCGGGCCGTGCTGATTCGGCCCGACGCCCACTACCTCTATAAGGCCCGGACGTTTTCGGGCCGAGCTGATCCTATAAATCGGCCCGTTTTGGACCGACTAGCCCGTTCTTGTCGGTGCCCGGCCCAGACGGACCAAAAGTGGGTCCGATCATCGGACCCAATTCCCACCTTGACCGAACCAACGTGGTCCTCATCGGGTTCAGTATCTATAAATGATTGGGAAACCCCAAGGTTATAAAATGCAAAATATGCATTATAATTCTAATTAAAATTAAAACAACCGCGTATTATTAATATTAGAGCTCGAATAATACGGAAATATGTAAAATTATATTATATTATATCATATCATGGTTGACACCCCAGAACGCCGATAAGGCCGATAACAGACCTCTCTCTCTCTCTCTCTCTCTCTAGCAAGCGGGAGAGATCGAGAACAAAACATCAAAGCTTGACAAGCTACCCTCCCTCCTCTCTCTCTTTCTCTCTAAGTACACAGTGGGAAGGAAGAAGAAGAATTGCAGACTGTGAGAGAGTCGCCTTCTTCTCTCTCTATCTCTCTCTATCTCTCTCTCTCTCGCAAGCAGGAGAGATCGAGACCAAAACATGAAAGCTTGGCAAGCTACACCCCTTCCTCTCTCTCTCTCTCTCGCTTTCTCTTTATATATATCTCTAAGTACAAAGTGAGAGGGAAGAAGAGGAAGAAGAATTGCAGACTGTTGTGAGAGAGTCGCCATCTTCTTCTCTCTCTATCTCTCATCTGAGAGTAAGAAAGAGTGTTGGGTGGGCGAGGAGGGAGACTCACCCGCTAGAAGAGGTAAGGGATGCCACCGTGGGGCGGTTGCGCTGCGGCGGAGGCGGCGGTGCTGCGGGCGAGGTGGCAGAGCTGGCGGAGCTTGGTGGGCACGTACCAGATGCAGAGCCGGGGGTGTGAGTTGAAGAGCGCGTCCACGTCCCATCCATGGTGGCGCGCTGACAGCGCCACCAGCGGCTGGTAGCAGGCCTGCCGCCAGGCTCCGACGTTCTCCCCCTTCTCCTTGAACCCTCTCCTCAGCGCATTCGACGCCTCCTCGTCCAGACAGTGCAGCGCGTAGCAGTGCACGTAGTGCCTCATCTTCGGCTTGTTTATGTAGCTCGCCCCCGCTTCCTTCGCGTACCTGAACACCTGGTTCGTCACCTGCACGGTGGCGCCACCAGCCCCTCCGCATCTCAGTAGACAACGAGAGAGAGAGAGAGAGAGAGAGAGAAGGTTTTAGACCTTGGTAGGGCACTTGTGGCCGCGTTCGCGGGAGATCGACTGGACTTGGAGGAGGAAGTCGCGGCACTGGTCGTAGAGGTGGAAGAGGTAGTCGAGGCCGTTCTTCTTCCCCCGGGCGACCTCTCCGGGCTCCGTCACGATGAACGGGTGCTCCCGCTGTCGCTCCCCGCCGGCCGCGGCGCCGCCGCCGGAGACCTTCCCCTCGCACTCTCCCTCGCCGTCTTCTTCGTCATCGTCGTCGTCCTCCTCCTCTTCGCCGTCTTCCTCTTCCTCGTTCTTCTTCTTCTTCGGCGTCGTCTTCTTGTTCCTCCTGGTCGCCGTCGTCTTCTTCTTCTTGTGGCCTTCCCAGGCCTCGCCGCCGCTGGCCACCGCCTCCCTCTCCTGCTGGACCCGCTCCTCCGATAGGCCTGCAAATGAACCAGTAACGAAGAACCGGCGGCGCCGTCAGAGGATGCGGGGGCAGAGGAGGACGGAGAACGGGTGGGTGCTCACCTTCCTGGGAGAGGGCGTCGAGGGCGCCGGAGTCGGGGGAGACGACCTGGCGGCGCCGCCGCTGCTCCTCCTCGTCCAGTTGGAAGAACCCGTCGAGCTGCCGCCGCCGCCGCTCGGTGCGGACAGCGGCCTTAATGCCGTACCTCTCTCCGACGAGGAGCTCCCACCGGAAGACATGGCACAAGGCGGCCATCATGTCCTCAAGCTCCTCCTCCCTCATCGCGGCCAGCGTGCTCACCGTGAACCCCAGCTCCCCGATCTTCTCCACCGTCTGGTACCTCACTCCGTACGCCTGGAACATCTCCTCCAGCTCCCCCCTCCCCGGCGGCACCGCCTCCACCTGGGCGGCGAGCAGCGACGCCGCCGCCTCGATCAGCCTGTTTGGGTGCCCCACCCTCAGGTCCCAGCATCTGAACGGGTTCGCCGCCGCCGAAAACTCGTCGGCGGGATCCATGTTCCTCTTCTTCTAGGGTTTCTTCTCCTTCTTCTTGTTCTGCTTCTTCTGCTTCTCCTCTTCTTCCTCCGCCGCTTCTCCGGCGATCTCACCGCCGCTGAAGCTGCATTTATGTACTGGGGAGGGGGAGCCAGAAATCTCCAGATTGCCCCTCCTGAGCATGTCTGCAAACTCTGGCTAGCTCGAGATCTCACCTGTGATGGGTGACTAAGCGGCGACGGCGCTGGACCCACCGCCGCCTCGGCCGGCGGCCCCGCCGCCCACCTCCTCCCTCGCCACCCGTTCCAGAAGACAACCTTAAAACGAGAGTGCTTCCGAGGGGACATGTGAACACATCGGCGTCATAATCTATATAAAATATACCGATTTTCATAGCGATAATTCAGATCAAAATCTCACTCGAAAACACCAAAATAATCCTCAAGAACAGAACTTTCTGGATGTTCGATGAAATCAGAGCGTGCCCAGAAACTTTACATGATGTTCAAACTCTATGGATATTATGTGATATTTATTTTAATGGGAAAAGTTATTGCAGTCAACCCGAGAGTCAGCGTCGGGCTGAGGGGCTTCTCTGCGCCGGCTTGTGGTGCTTGCTGGTCGGAATCCGTTCGGCCGCCTTTATTTCGCGAACGTTGACGGTCCCTTCTCTCACATCCATAGATTGGGAGGAAAAGCGAGAGAGAGAGAGGGGGCAGACTTAGCGGCGATGTGAACTCTCACTCTGCTCCATGCGCTGTCATGCAGGGATAGATAGAGAGCCCAGAAACCAGGAGAGAGAGAGAGAGAGAGAGAGAGAGAGAGGGAGGGGGGTAGACTAACAGTGAAACCCTTGCGAAAGAACACAGATTGGCAGGGGAAGAAGGGAGGGGGAAAAGCCGCCGCTGTAATCGATCAAATCACGTCACACCGTCCTCCGCCCAACACCTGAGGGAGAGACTTCTACGAGAACCCGCCCGCCTGTCAGCTTCCTTTCTCCGATGCGATTAATTGACTCCTTCCTGCTAGCAGCAGGAGGAAGAGGAGCTCTTACAACGAGGAACACAACACGGACAAAGATAGAGGGCGAACCAGAGGCATGTAGATGGATAGACATGTAGATGGAGAGGGAGCCCTCCCTCTCACTGACCCTCTCTCCCTCCCTGTTTTGGGAACTCGCAGGTTCAGCCGCCGCGGAAGCCCACGGCCTCAAATCCAGGGAGGTGGGCCGCCGGGGAAACTGCCAGCGGCGATGGGTCGGCCCTACGGCGCCACCACCGCTCCCCGGCGGTTGTGATGGATGCAGAGGGAGGAGGGGAAAAGGCTGGTCGGGTCTGCGGCCGCGGGGGAGTCAGGTACTCTCTCTCTCTCTCTCTCTTTCTCTCTTCACTTCTTCGCTATCGGACTGGAGGCGCAGGCGGCAGGCTTTTCATTGAGCCATCAATCGCCGCCTCGGCCGCGGAGCCGCGGCGGGATCCGCCACCCACTCCACCTCCTCCTTCCGGTACGGCCCCTCTCACGTGTCGAGACTGGCGCCTATGGAAGTCAGCCACGTGTCGATTCCCTGTCGATGGCGAAGCTTGTCCACGTGTCGAGTTGGGTTCCCACCCGAGCTGTATATCCATGAGTGGATCACGCGGGTGGATCTGTTCCTATCCACAAATGCAGAGTTTTATAAATATCCACACATTTAGATCAACGTATTTAGTATAAATTCTGCATTTTTCAAAAATGCCCCCTGATGTGTCTATAAGAATGTTCAAGGCCTGTTTCAGGTGGGCCCATGCGATTTTTAGTATTCACTTAAATTAATGATTAAATGAAGCCCTTTTTCTGTAATTTATTTTCATAAATTTATTCCCTAGAAACCAGAGAAATCAGAATATGATCTTAAAAACCCTTCATTTGTCACTATTTCAGTACAACTTTAATGATTTAGTGCATGCAATAAAATATTAGAACATAGAGTTTATATATGCAAGTGAGTCTCTTAAATTAGCCTCTAGCAAGGCATATAAGTTAAATTATGATGAGATGTCTTGATACCTTCATGTTGTTATTGATTGATTTTGATGTTAGACAGCCCACTAACATTAACAATGATGGATATGGATTATATCCACTACCAACTGCTATCTCACAACTAACTTAAAAACTTGAGAAAGTTATGCTTTGTGTATTGAAATCAATGTTGTTGATGGAGATTTAGCTTGTAATCATATTATTGACATAGATTACAGAAATATTTGTCTATTGGATCAATTTCAATAGTTAGTAAAGTCTTATTTTACATTATTCCAATGATAACCATCACACGTCAAATAAGTGTCTTTGATTCTATTAATATAATATGATTCTTCTACTAATATATTTTTCAAGTTGATCTCAAATTTATGTATGCTTTAAAAGTATATATAAAAATAGTTATTGAGTTATTAATTGATAATATGTGGACTCATTGAGGCATTTATGATATTATTGTAATGCAATCACCTAGGTGGTTGAGGCATATGTGGTGTGCTTATAGCAAAAAAATAGATAACATTGTTAGTTACTAGGATTTTAAATGAAGTGATCACATGTGAGCTTGATGATGTAAAAGTTTTATGTTCCTAGAAAAATAAAGTGTATTCTAGTGATGAAATAGTAAAAAATAATGTAGATTATTCAAAAGTGAATGTAAGACAAAGGAGTTTGACTAAATTACTATAGAACTTTGTGTTCATCAATTATTTCCTATTTTAAAGTGATATTTTAAAATAATATATATGTTGCAAAAATAAATTATTATAAGTAATGATAATAAAAAATAACATCAATTAAACTCTCTCCCCTCCCCATTCGTTTAATTCATTTAATTATCTAGAGACCAACATTTGGTGCTTAAGTCTAGCTGAAATCATAAGAAGAAACTATTCTTTGAGGAATAGATCCCAATGGCTAGCACTTCAAGAAGCTCATGGGTATATAAGGTCATTACACATATACACATCCTAATAACATGCTAATTCTACTTATTTATATGAGCTATTATGCATGTTTCATATGATTATATGATTATAATTAACATGTTGTTAAGTTAATTCATAGATTATGAATTTCATACGAATGACTGATTTTAAAGCATAAGAAATCAAATTGATGCATGAATATTACGTCATGATATTTTATTGAATAAATTATAATCCAATTATTATTATAAGGTTTATTTGAATTGCTTTAAATCAGAATTAATTAAGCATAATCCAAATATGTTGCATTATTTATTATTTATTATTAATTTATAATATAAAGAGAGATGTCTTGTCTATGTAGTTATTTTCTATATTTAATTAAAAGGACAGATTAATTATTTTTATTGGTTTTAATTAGGCTTAATAGGCCCATGGGCCTATTAGAAGACCCACAAAGACCAAGGAAGGCCCATGAGACTTAAGAGAGGAAGCCCACCACCAAAGGAAGGGGAAACCACCCCCTCTAAATGAGGAAACTGTCCACCTTCCTCCTTTGAAGAAGTCAAAGGGGGGTTGGTGGCCTCTTCTCATTGGCCATGCCCCTCTCCCTCCTTAGGCAACCTTTGAGACAATTTCAGCCCCTCAATCAGCCCAATCCAAGGGCTCAGATAAGTCTTAGGGTGAGTAAAGTTGAGAAGACACCTTAGGAGTGCCCACCTCCTTTGGGCTGCCCTTGGAGAGGAATCTCATCCAAGGGCTATGCATTCTCTTCCATGATCCAAGGGCTGAGAATAGACACAACCACAAGAACAATAAAAGGTCATTTGAGGATAAAAGAGATCATTTGTTGCTTGGGAGAGGGAGCCACCTAGAAGAGAAGAGGATTTGATCCAAGAACTTTACAAGGTAGTGCCAAGAACTCTTGAGGAATCTACTTGAAGCACTACATGCATCAACAATGAAGTCATATGTAGTTTATTTTATTTATGTTTTATAAACTTTTTTAAGTCTTGAATAAGAGTTTTGTTTTCTTATTGCATTATCTTCTTCTTGAGACCCTTTTGATGAGAAAGAGTTGTTTCAATTGAAGAGCAGATAATAATTTGATTATTTGATCTCTAGAGTAACATTAGGTTGATCTTATGATAGAATCTAACCCTTTTATTGTTTCTTTGGTCCCCTTGATGCATGTAGATCTCTTAATTTATTAAAATTGATCACATTTCTAAGAGTGAGTAAGACATAGCAGATTAAGAATACATTACATATTTCTTTTGATTCTTCTCTTTTCATATTCTTTTGCTCCTTTAATTCTTCAAAGGTGAGCATTGATTGGAAGTAGAGAGGTGACGTGACTTAGTCATTGTATAATAAATCACAAATTTAAAATTTATAAAACTAGAAAATATAATTTTTAAATATTTAGAAGTATTTCTTAAAAAATGTATCAATTATAATTTAATAAATGTTTCAAAAATAATATAATTTTTCAAGTCGATCACACAGATGTGATATAATATTGAGTAATATTTTAATTTTTTTACAAAGAAATAAAAATATGTAATATAAATTTTATACTAAAAAATAAAAATAAAATTATATTTAAAATTTATGAAAAAGAAAATAGATGTTAGGATGACATCAATGCCCGACTAACGTGAATCAAGAGAAAATAGAGTTTTACTTGACAATTCTTACATAAGCGATCATAAATGATTTAATTAGTTAAATTAAGATTTATAAAAGTCAAAATAATCATAATTGAATGAAGAATAATTTAGAAACTTGACATCATGCAAGTTATCACTAAATAAAGTAAAAATTAAGTTAAAAGTAAGAAAGACAAAGTTCTAGCCTTGCATAGTGATTGTCGAAATTTTGTGTGTTTGGAAGAATCATTAAATGATGACCATGGCCTTAAAGACTCTCCTTAGACATGGACGACTTGAGCATTCACTAGATCTCATTTCAAAATTCAAAAAATGATGGTGAAAGTTAAACTAGTTTAAAAATAGTAAAACAAAATTTTAGTGTCGCGACAATGATGTATCAATGATGCGTCGGAAT